TTTTTTTTTTTTCCCCTCTCCCTTTCCCCTCCTGCCCTTGCAGAGGATGTGGAGAAAATGAACAAGAAGATGGAAGAAGTGAAGGAGGCCAAAGTCCGTGTGGTCTCAGAGGAGTTTCTTCAAGATGTGAAAACCTCCAGCAGGGGCTTTCAGGAGCTTCTCTCCCTCCATGCGCTTTCACCTTGGGGTGCAGAAGTGAAAATGGAGCACCAGGAGGTGTCCGTAGATGGGAAGTGCAGCAAGCCATCAAATATGAAGAGTGCTGGGAAAGTCAAGGAGGAGCAAGGTGAATAACAGCAGACCTGCTCAGTGCTGCGTATTCAAAGCACCCCTGGATATATCCAGCCTCACGCTTTCCTGAGTTCTCTCCCCCTTTTTTATGATAATGATTATGTAATTATGTGATTATGATTTTATGAAACCCCAAAGCAGGGCTGCCTTTAAGTGATCATAAGAGTGCACCCAGAGGAAAAAATGCTGGGGTCCAGAGCAGTGAATCTTTGCTCTACTGTGTGCAAACATGATTTTTGTTTTGTTAACGAGGAGGGGGCAAAAAACACCACCAGCAGCACTCTTCACCTAAACTATAACAAGTTTGCATTTTGATGATGGGAAGTGAACAAAATCTTCTCGTCTGCTCACCTTTTTTTCAGAAACCATGCTTCTCCAGGTCCTCCAAGCTTTGGTTTCTGTCTTGCAGTTGAGTGTGTTACTACCAGGCTGGTCAGAGCAGTAGGATCTCGGAGAGACATGAATGTCCTACATAGTCTGTAAGATTTTTAAACAGAACTTCAGTTAAGGGTGTTCAAGTGGGATTCATCTGCCATGCAGATGAAAAGAGCAATAGAGTCCACCCTTCTAGGCCGAAAGGGAGAGAACAGCAAATGCCTGAGGAGTCTTGTCTTTCATTTAAATTACAATATGGATGCGGAGGTTGTGAATTAGCTGCTAAAGCAAGGTGAAGAGCCATTGAAGTCCTACTGTCCTTATACAAGGAATCTGATCTCATACCCTTTTCAGGCGATAACTGCACAAATGGAGAATGTAAATGTTGTCTCCCTTGTAAATGTGCCTGGAAAAAAGCTTCACTCCCTTTCCTTGCAGGTCCTAGCAAGTCTGAAAAGAAAATGAAGCTAACGGTTAAGGGTGGAGCAGCAGTAGATCCTGATTCAGGTGAGTGATAGAAATGGCTGTGCCTGCAGTGTAGTCCTCGGGGTCCAAGTTTATTTGCAAACTGTATGTTTATTTATGTATTTTGTAAAAGGATAAAAGGTTTAGATTCGCAGTGGTAAAAGTTGAAGCTGATTTTTTTT